GACCATCTGTGCGAAATTAACGCGTTTCGAGAAATATGTCGCGAATATCGATACCCTTTATCTAGCACCGTTCGTAAACTGGCAATGAAAGAAAACCTTGAATGGGCTACCTCTGCGTTGAAGAATACGCGATGGTCTAACCAGTAGAATGAGTCGGTTTCTTGGTTCATCAGTCCCGCGAAGCAAATTGAGAATGGGAATTGGCCCTTTGAAGTTTGAGCAACGATCCGTCTATAATCTTCTTAATAACTTTCCCTCTCTATCTTTCACTCCCTTTATGAGGATCGTCTTGATTTCACCGGCACATCCCCTTTCAATACATACTCTTTTACTCTACCCAATTATTTTGAAGCTAATATACTGAATCATCGAATACTATAGTTTCGATTGTTTTTCAAAGGCGATGGAAAATGTCGAAATTCAGTGCGTTAAATTCGTTGAATAATTTCAAGCGTGACAATACCTCGCTTCAGTAGGATTTATTTATTTATTTGTTTATTTGAATACACGGGGATGATGTATGTGTTAAAACGCATGATAAATGAGCAAGGATCAGCTTCGAAACATAAAAGAACATAGCGGAAAATTGAATTAACAATTGATTGTAAATACGTGTAATATTCGTTGCAACAAATTAACGAAATCACGCAATCAGACGAGGGAATGGTAGGTATTCGTGATGAAATTGTTGACATCAAAGTATGAAATATTTGAAAGCAATCTTTTGGATACGCCTGATTTACAAACTCAACTGTACGACTGATCCGGGGTAGCCAAAAGCGATATAATATTCGAATCGTCATTTCGCTCGATCGACAGCCATTAAGTGGGCAATTGTACTTCTCTAAAAGGTTCGACAGTGTCATGACGTTCACACCGTTTGAGGCACGTCGATTTCCTTCGGTTAATCCGGGAAGGAGCCCAACGCGACTGGCAATCATCAATCTCGTCGAGTTGTACTCGTCTGGCACTAATTCAGTACCCTTGTCCCCCGGTCTCCTTGTCAAGAGCGAACTTCGCGTATATAGCTTTGCCACTTAAAGCAACGTTGTACGAAGGACAGGCTGGCCTTTCGTTCGACCGGGATCCAAATAAATAGACGGCCGTATATCAACGCCCCTGAAATCGCAGCAACTCGATCAACTTGAGTACACCTTACATTGTCTCTGCGAGCCGAGCGCGTCCAACTTCTCCGGCATTGGATATATGCTCTCCCATTGTCCGGGTGAGGGAATAAAATCCTCGAAAGAGTGACAGCAAGTAAGAGTTTAACCCTACCCTCGAGTTCGAGCTACAGTTAGGCGGAACGTGTTACAGAAAAGGTGTGTACGTTGGATTGTCCCTAAGCTCTCCTTAATTGTAAGTTCTCCCAAAACTTGCTTCGTGATTATCAATTAAATTACTCGAAAAACGTTTGCCCGAGTTTGCTGGAATAAATGAAAATTTCAGCACGGATTTGCACGGCAGATAGGATTATTATTCTTGCATTACCAGCTGCTCGATATAACCCGAAGAACAGCACACTGTGTGGAGCCGATAATTTTAACGAAGAAGCAGCAGCCGTGGCAGCGGGCGAAAGAAGTTTAAGAAGAAGACCCATTCATCCAGCGGTCGCGGCGAAAACTGACAAAACAGTTGATACCGGCAGATATAGCGGGCCATGGAATACGAATGGACGTGGACGGATATACGAGAGAAAGCTCGAGTAGAAGTCTCGAGCCTAGGGTCGAGAAAAAAAGAGATATGAGAGGATTGTGAAAAGGGGAGGGAAAAAAATATTCGCGATCGCGGAAAGAAAGAGGATGAGGGGACGAGGGGCGGCGAGAACGGTCGTTGGAAAAATGTCATCGAGCGATCCTGATTTACAGCGCAGGGAAATCGGTGCGGTGAAGTTCGTGTCCGTGGCGGAAACTCGGAAATTTTTACTCGTGAGAATCGGAACTTTCATTGACGTTCCAGCTGAATCGTCGTGGAAAAAAGTAGGCGAACGTGATAGAAGAACAGCGTTTGAAGAGGGTGAGCAAATGAGAATCGCGGACGATTGTCGAACGATTTCTATCGAGTCAAAACTACCTAGTCACTGAAATTATTTTCACACCAAGAAATTGTTTCGTTCGATAACGAAGGAATCAACAGACAGCGCGAATGATTAAACGATGAAAAGGAAACAAACTGAAGTTACGGTTACATAGTTAATGACCGATTAGCAGAACAAAGCTTATACGTTTCGCTTTAAAGCGCGTTATCTCGTTAATGTATCTGGCAAACAATATTTGTCTTTAATTATCATGCTCGTGTTTGCGTAACTATGTACACGATACCAAGCTCTCCTTCCGTACAACCAGCTATGATTCGTAACGCACAGCAGGGGTCGAACTTTTATCCGCATCTTTCGCCGCACGGCCGTAACTTGAATCGTTTGTTTGTTCCAATTAGCGAGATACGTTACACATTTATATTTTCAGAAACATCGTAAATGTACAAGTACCCTTTGACAGAGGAATAACATACAATATACAGGCGCTGGACGAGAAAATACCATTTTTCCAGGAAAATTTTTCACCCCTTCGGTGGAACAATGAATTTTCAATATTATTCCATTTCGACGCGTAACCAAAAACACGATCGGACCACAGCGTATTGAATAACGGTTCGAAACTCGTTTGTCGAATTATACAGGGGAAGGTTAAAACAAAAATGATGCACCTATATAATCACCAATATCGGTATACGCAACAAATTTGCCATTAAAAGTTTACCCCGACGCGTTGTGACCGAGGGACCGGACTACGGAGCCAGCCAATTTTGCCATTGGAATTCTCCAGGCTGACCAGTAACGACCTTCGTCCTGTATGGCGAATAACTATGCAAATTTCTCCATAGGTTAAGCGGAGACTTCTGATGACATCGTATATACTGTTGGTCAAGTTGCGAGGGAACGGGGGCACATAAAGCTACGCCCGGTTCAAGATTACCCTCTCACCCGATGCTTACCTGCCAACTTTACTTACGCTCAAACCTTTACGCTACGTTACATTGCACATTGTTAATTCGTGAAACTTTCAGCGTACAACTAGAATTATTTCATCCACCAGTGTTTCCATCTTTCTATGATTTTCCGGGCGTATCGCAAAACAGAGAAATCAAAGCAAAAGAGAAATCGGTTGGGTAATCAAGGGACCGTTTCAAAAGCTGCACGGTCCGTTGCTGTACTTTTGGTAAGGTCTCCAATCTGCCGGAGACGTCTCTATGTCACGAGTACGTGCACGATGAAATTGAAACTGGCCTAGGTATTCATCGTTGCTAAATTAATCAGCATGTCAGCCGGCTATATCAGACTTTCCGGATATCGTTTACAGTAGTCCGAACTAAACTCCACCGTTTGAACCGTTTACAGAAGAAAATTGTGCAAACTGCAACGTTGAAATCACCGATTGTTATGTTTACGATAAAGCAAGAAAACGTTGAATAAAAGAAATGTTTGTTCCGAAGAAAAGTATGCTTTCTGAAATAATATCACGACAAAGGTTATTTCAAACGGGCTCAAGTATTTTTTATTATGTCGTAACGATTGTATTATTGAGCGTATTTTTTAATGGAAAATCGATGAAGGAGCCAGGTTTGACGTTTAGTCAAGGGAATCAGCATATTCTAATTGGACAGGGTACTTGATCGGGAAAACCGAATCGGTGGCTCGAGTTTAATCAAACAAGGTTTAGCGTATTGGTTGTTATCAGTCGCATGGTTAAACGAGTATACGGGTCCGTTCTAGTATCGTGATTTTGCTTTGCCATTTTGAATACGGTTCATCGTTTTCACCTATTCTGTGCGAACGGTGTACGCTGATCATATGCGGGATATGTATAAGGTGAATCATCTAACATACGAACCTAAAGGTCTTCCGTGCTGTTGATACGAAAACATACGCGAGAGAAGAAAAGAGTCGAGATGGTATCGTAGAATGGTTTCTCCTCTAGCTCGTATTTCTTGAGATTTCCTTCTGAATTTTGAGAAATAAAGTAACGTACAACTATTTATAAGAGAGCATGGATGAAATGCAGTACAGTGGTTCAACCACTGTGAACAAAGAAATATTACATCCTTAAACCCTTACACGAAGAATCGAGTTGTAGCGTTTCCTTGTGTTATCGAGTTATTTTCTTACGATTCGTATGAAATTAATATTGTTTAGAAAAAAACAAATGAAGATATTCGCGGTGTAACAGACTCCGAACATTTTTCCAGCAATGTTCTCTGCGTGACTATAAGAGTTCTCTGGCAAAACAACGAACACGAGAGGGTTGGAAAAATAGAAGAAGAGAATTTCACTTGCAAACCACGGCCCCATTGTTCAAAACACCTACGAGGCTGTCTCTGAACGTTATGATCTCGAGCGTCAGCGTCCGTGCATCAATTACTACTGGATCCGCCATCCATCTCACCGTGTCGCGCCGTTACATGTACACGCCGCATATTTCCGCGTACTCGAACGGTTGTGCCGACCGAAACGTGTCGATAGGTCAATCGTTCTGATTTTCATCCCGTCGATGACCTACATACATGCGGTCAACCGTAAATCCATGCCTCGTAAAAGTTCCATGTATCAATCAAGAAATTGTCATCATCCATGAAATAGTCGTGTTTAAACAATTTTATGGAATCAGTATTTATACTTTTAAACGGTGCTAAACTGTTGTTCGAGCGACGCTGATCGTAGTAGCGGTAATTTGCCCAACGATCCTCGTAAACGCTACAGTTGAATCGATGTACAAAAAAGCTGGCAATTAATCGTATCGATATTCAAACCTATTTCTCGATATTAAAACTACATAAAACATAATCAATTGTATTTAACCGTCTGACCGCGAAAGGGGTACGTATACGCTCTCACATATCCATTAATATTAATTTGTACAAAATAAAATAAAAATATTAAGTTTCCTTTTGGAACGTAGCATAGTCAAAGGGTTAACGAATAAAAAATAGATGCAACGACTTACCGTGTGGGGTGACCAATGATGAGGCCAGGTCTTCGTCTCGTGACTACTCCCAACGGTCGGTTGACTCGCTAAAAAGACAACACGTCTATCGGCACTTCCGGTCCCGCTACCGGTTGTAGTTAAAAGGGCCGCACGGGCCCTCGAGCCGCCGATACTTAGCGTTGGCGACGTGTCCATGTTGGCCTGGAAGCAAAACGAATAGGTTCAAATTGATCGTCGGTTCGTGGATGTTCGAACGTGCTGCCTCTTCCAGCACGGAAGAAAAATTTATATTTTCATGGAAGCGAATACACGCGTGTCCGCCGGGCATAAAAGTTATTCCGTTCAATTTCAATTGCACCGGATGTTTGACCGCGGCAGCGAAACGGAATTCAAACAAATTCAACCGGTTTAATGAAGCCTGTTACAGGAGGAATGATGAATGCTTTCGAAGGAATCCCGAGCCAAGTACGTATCTTTCAACGAGAGTTCATGCTTTGCAACGTATCTCTTATTCATTCGGTCTCGTTCATGTGAGCGCGCAATTTCGAGCGGTATTAGCCGAGCTTTGAACCTGATGAAAAAAAAGATCGTCTAGCGAGCCATTAACTGAACGATAATATTTAAACGCAGGATACCGATTATATTCAAAAATTTAGTTTTAATAACGTTTTCTATTGATTTTGTGAAGATAAAAAGAGGAAATCATGAATCGTGAAAAGGACGACGTTTGAGGCATATGAACAGCGATTCGAGAACACGAACGTCCTCGTGAAAAGATCCGACGAGCGTAATCGAGCTCGTTAACGCGAGGACAAAGCTCATCGAGGTAGAGAAAGAGGTGCACGAGCCCGAAGGACGAGGGCGTGGAAACAGGAGGATGAAGGAACGAGAAGGTAGTACGTTTTTCACTGGGATTTACGGGTCGTCGACGGGTATTAAGGAGAATGATGCGCGACCACAACCCGACCAGACACGCGACGCGAGACCGAGTGAAAAGGAACCAAGAAGGAGTTCGAGAAGAAGCAAAGGACGTAAAAGCAAAAGGAAAAGAAACGAGAAGAGAAAATAGAACGGGGGGTGAACGCGTGTCGAGCGACTAGGAAACGCTAGCGCAAAACTGACACGTACTCCTTAATTAAATCTCGGTGAATCCACTCGGTTGATCTGTAATTTACGTAGGACACTGGCTTGGCCTGGCCTGGTGATAACCTATCTCGGCTGGCAAAATCGTATTCAGATAGGGAACATCGCGGTTCCTTATCCCCGGTTCACCACACTTCAACCGACTAAACCTTGAAGTCGCGTGCACCTAATCATTATAGCCAGAGAGGGGCGGAAGGGTGACGCTAGGTGTTCCTTAAATCGTTCCAGCTCGACGTTCGCTCCTCCTTCGTGCAATTACGAGTCATTACGACCAGGACTTCACCGTGTACCACCGCACACACAGGACTTTTCTACCAGATACCACCGAGCTCCACCGTGTCCAGCTATTTGCGGACCATCAGCCGAATGCCGGATATAATTCCTCCGCGCGATATACGCACCACGATGAAGATAATGACGAGAACCGGCTACCAAAGTATCCAACGACCTTATCGACCCCGAAATAACTTGCGTATTAGATTCAGAAGCGTGCTACGAACAGTAAATTTAGAGCTTGCATTCCGACAGTTCTTCCTCGACACGGTTTCCCGCGTACTCTTCCGACAACCGGAAGCCACGGCTTCCGTTCGATTAGAACGATTAGCTGCGCGAGAAGTCCAAGTTCAGCCGGCAGAATAACCAGTTACCACTGTTCCTCTAATGGAAAAATTACTACCGTAGTTTTATTCAAACGATTTTAATTATATCAAGTTATTTTTTGTTTTTCTCTCTCTGTATAGATTTTTTTTATCGCTCACAGTTGAGCTCGGTGCTCTTGAAATGTTTCATGTCGAATAAACGATTCCTTTTCAAAAATCATTGATCGTCATCGATAAGCGAATCAAAAAATCTTTATGTGGTAGATTTTGAGGCACGAAGCCGGAACCAGAGTCCGATCTAGCGATCCCCTCATTGTTCACTGACGAATCGTTCTCTCGATCTTCTGTGTGTTTTTTTTCTTTTACGATCGCGACTCGGGAACTCGAAAACGATCGACTTTACGCGAGGAAGCCCGTCACGGCCGGAAGTTGGCAAGCGTCGCGTACGAAATCGCGCACGACACTGAACCGTCAGGACGTCTAGCGCCGGAGGTGAGCCTCTCGCGGATTCGCGGGCTCACGTGTGAAATTCTTGCGCATGCACCAACGCCTTCTCCCTTCCAATCTCCCCTCTTTCCTTTCCTTCCCTTACCGTTCCTTTCCAACAGTTTCTCGTCCTTTCTGCCGCCTCTCTTTTCCCTGCTCGCTAAACGCTAGCCGTCCCTCTCCACTTTCCTATCTCTTATCATAGACTATCGCTGTTCTTTTCTCCGTGAAACCATTGTCCCTTCTCCTCACTCTACTCAACCATCGCCATACCTTTCTTCTCGTCTGGATAAGCTCCTCTGGATGGCATCATGCGAGCAACAAATATCTACCGTTGCTCCAACTTGGCACCGAACTTAGTCGAGTATTTAGCCGAGTGAATTCAAGCAGATTGACGAAGAACACATGGTAAATATCGCGATGCAAAATATTTCCTCATATTTATATAGTTGCAGTGCTTTTATTAATAGTATCATCATCAGTCATCGACGATCCTAGCGTTATTTTACATTTTTAATCGTGTCCTTTTCAATTGAAAGCTTAAATGTTTTAAACGTCGCTTTGTTAAATATCACTGATTATTGTTAATAATTAAACAACTTCACTGGTTAACTATCTTTAAATAAACCGAATCAATAAAGGCGATTTTTTTTACATTCACAGACCCAACCTCTTATTTAGCCATTTAATCACTCGAATTTTATAAATCTGAATTTTATAAATTGACCACGCTTAACGTTTGAGAATACCAATTGAATAATGAATCTCAGTGATAACTATTCTATATAGTTCTTCAAAAATACGGGTTAATTACGAAATCAATAGAAAAAGAATCTCTCGATTTATCTTTACCCTAACAACCTTAATTGTCCCAGTTTCATTATCCGGTGCATCGTAACGAATCCTACGTCACCTTTAAATAATAACTGTTAATACCGGCCTGATAAACTAGATTGTCACCTAAATAAGAAAATTGCGAACACAGTGTTAGGACATTTTCTTGCTCGGCATCGGCGCGACTTTTCCCCCGTAGTTTCTTCCCCATAAACTTTCTGGTTTCACTGTTCGCGCGCTCTACGTTGCGGACCATACCTGTTTCCTTCCTTCCCCGTTATCATCCACATTTTACTTTCCAACCTTTCGTTTGCCGCGCTAGACGAGCATCGTATCTTCGAGCTGTTTAATAAATTCCATCGCGATATCGTCAATCCTACGTCGGATTCTATTAACCCCTATGCGATATTCCGAAAAGGTACTTTGTTGTCTGGCTTGTAACTTCGAAAACACAAAAGATGTAAACAGAAACCCATCCACGCACCGCTATGTCGCTGTTGTACGTCGTTACCGGAATTTGTTGATCCAGATCACGAAGGAAGAATGTAGTGTACGCGCGTACACGCCACGTCGTTATTCTATCTCGTTATTATTCTGCCTCGATTCTCTCGTGCTTGTAGCGAATCGATCTCGTTCTATTCCGCTCGTACACCCGTTAACGATTTCCCTGCAACGCGCGTGATCCTCTTTTCGAAATCCAGCTCGTACGTTGGCCAAATCGTGACAGACAGGTATGTGTATGTACCTGTTGAAGACGACCGTTTTCGCGTTCTTACACGATCGATCTGCTTGTGTCAGGAGCACGTTCGAACGTCTCACTCGGCTCGATCGATTAAATCACCGAGCAAATGGTACGCGAGTAATCGGGATCGAGAGAAGAAGGCAGTGCAAGCCGATTGCGGCGGAGAACGATTCAGTTCGTGTTGAAACAATGCCGTTTCGAAAATGCCAATCGTTAAACGATGAGTACACGATCGACATTTCCCTCTGTTTTCTATCCTGTCCCTTCTTTTCCCCTACAATGTATTCATCTTCTTACGTCCATTTCGCATTCCCGTTTTCCCTCTTCGATTCGTAAAGCCCTTTCGCAGTCGAAATAGACAGGTAGAAAAATCGAATGCAAGAACAGCAGCCGGATTGATCGAGCGTTTCTCTCGCGTCTAAATCTGTCCAGACGAATGAACACGTGACGACTGGCACGATATCTGTAGTGGGGGAAGTAAATATCGATACGTATCGGAGCCACGGAAACGGAAGTACTTCGACCCGATCATCGACGATGCCTTCGGGCTGCCAACGATCCCCACGATCTTGCATTTCGCCTACGAGATCGCGTGGATTATCTTTCTTTCTTTCTTTCCTTTCGCTGATTGCTCGCACGAGATACGCTTACTACCCCGTCCGACGTTTCCGATTCGCGATTCATTTTCTTCGCGTGAACACTACGCTCCTGCCGCGCCGAAATCTTACGAGAGATTCAAGGAAATCCAAATCGCAACGAGATCGTTTCGAACGACGCTTCTCAGAGTAGATTCCGAGGAGAGTAGAATTCCGGTTAGACGATTTCCATCGCAGATAGGTAGATTTTACCTTGCCCCTTTTGTCAGCGACGTATCGACTCGTATTCCATCTCGAACTCACCTCGTTAGTGTTAACGATTATTTCATCCGGAAGCAACTTGTTCATTCTCATAATGATGGACGACGACGACCGAAATATCTATCGACACTCGATGACCCGATAAACTTTCGAATCGATCGAGAGCCCACCGAATTATCGCGATACCAACGTCATTCTTTCGATTTTTTCTTCGAATAGATACTGCACTGGTGCAACCGTGCATAAAAAGATCCTCGTAAACGAGACTGTTTATTTTTTAACAGCGAGAAGAGAAGAGACAAAGTGTAGGTAGATCAATTTACTGTACAATTAACAGTCGAATTTATTTCAAGGATTCCACCGTAGTCGCTCGTAACGAGGCTCTATTAACGGAGGAAAAAATGGGGTTCACGGTTCGTAGAAGAGAACGAGGGTGGACGATGGTGTCTCCCGATGTCTCGTAAAACGCGATTTTATTCGAGGTTGAACAAATTGAAACATAAGCCGCTCGTAAGTCGCTCCCTATCTACGATGCTACGACAGTCTTTCTCCTCTTTTCTTACGATTCCGCGTCGATGTACGCGCCTATTCGTCTCTCCTCGAATTCCAGGATCTTTTTATCACGTGCTGCGAACACGACAAGGACAAGGTTGCGGCATTTACACCGAGTGATCTGTATCGAGAGCCTACAGCCTCAAACCCATCCAACTGAATTTATTCCTCGCGAATCCGGCTATCCGGTTGCATAAAAATTGATCTCCCCTCGTTCGTGACATAATACCCTGAAGGACGTGTCCCATTGTCTATCAGGCGTTTATTGTTGAGCTCCTTTCAGTATCGCGATACATCTTCGACAGTTTTATTGCTTGGAATTAAAACACAACGCACGACGCGTATATCCCGTACGTCGATACGAAAATGGAGTGCCGCCATCGTAAAATCCTCCGCGGTTAGCGATGTATTCGTCGAGAAAGGGTTTCGTGAGTGGTACCCCCATAGGGGATGACAACAACTTTCTCCAAACGCTTTGAACGTCGCATTTTCTCACACAAAGTTCCCCTTACGAACGGGCAAGTTCTCGACGGTATTCGCGACACGTCCGTGAAAGCCTCATGACTAAAATTATCAGCTCGCTGAAAGATCAAAAATTCCCTTATGTTTCCTACCCTTTCCTTTGATATTTTTTTTTTCATTCGACCGCGTTACACACCTCCACGCGTTTCTCTTTTTTCGACCTGCATGCTTCTTCGTAATGCCATATCCTGCGCCACCTTTGCAGCCGAAGCAGAATCGTGACGCGAGCGCAGCGATGAAAAGCAGGAAAAAGGGAGGAGAAGAGAATCGAACGAACAAACGGGCGCAAGAAAGAAAGAGGAAAGGAAGAAGGGGATTGGAAATAGGGGTTAAAGGATAGACAGCATTCTCATTTCGATTCTCCTTTTCCTTCTCGTTCTCGGATTGAAGAGGCCTTTATGACGGGATACCGTTTTATGGCACAGCTTCGCCCGCTATTATGCGTGCATCGGCCGGTCGGGAGGGGTTCTCTCGGGGTGTGGAAGACGGTACGAGTCTGTATGGTTTTCGATGCTCGAGGGGTAAACGCGGAGAAGAAGCGACGACGAAGGAAGAAGGAACGATGGTAGCGTACGAATCGGAAGAAAGCTATGGAGGGTTGCGCTTTGGACCACGGCCCCGACCATTGTTAGGATAATGAAGCCAAGGCGAGATTTCTCCCTTTTCAGCGTCGCGCCCAAACGATATCTCGAATGACTGATTGTGAGATTCCTTTGGATCTCGAGGCAGCACGTACGCGAACCTCGCGTCGGATCACGTAGCCAGCGACGAAAACGCGTCGCAAACGAAACCTCGCCTCGCACCGATGCGATTGTTTGCACCGCAACCGAATCGCTTCTCTAATTAATATTAAACAGTAATACATATGATAACGGAGGTCGAATATTAATTGGAAAACTTGGCTACCCGATATACCAGGGATATTCAGGGTATCAATGTAAATGCGCATTCGTAACCTGTTGATCGTTACAAAATTTGTGAAATACATCCAGATATAGCGACCGATGAAAGTCGGGGAATAATCTTTGTGAACGAAGCATTTGATGCCGATTAACCGAACGTTCCTAATTAACCGGCCTGTTGATGAACAAAAAATCCCTGCTTTTTCGATGCAATCGATCGCGTCGTAAAATGTGATAATTATTCGATTACGAAATAAACGTGGTTCGGGTCGCTGATATAAAATATTAATTCCACATTTGCATAGAAATAAAGGTGACATTTTTTTCTGAACAATCCTTGAAGCTTTATAGTTGGCGAGTGTTTGCAAGCACAAACATCATGGCAACTTTGAATCATATGGAAATTATTGCATAAAACTTCTGTGAGATGCACCTTAACAACGAATATTCTGGATCCTAAAGTAACACCATTTCCTTGTCCTGTGTTCTCTCTGTATTTACTTGGTGAATTATTGCGGGACCAACTATCGCCAAGGCAATAGAGAATTGCCCAGTTCGTAGCTAAACTGTTGATTGGTGA